TTTACGTTTCTAAGCCTCAGCAAATCCTCATTATTGTTGCTGTTACAACGCATCACTGCTTCCTAGCCTACGTTTTACTGGCTTCCGTGTTTTCTAGCGTTTTTCCCTGGGTCCTACTCTCATGTTGGTAGGTCAGCAGCTGGCGTTTGCGTGAAGTCTTGACTGCGCCTGTGACGGATAGGTATTTCGTTCGTCGGTCGCTTAAAGACGCAGCTAATGGTTCACCTGGCTCTGAACCCAATCCTATGTTTTTCCGTTTTTTAAGTGACTGAATGAAGATATGGTCTTGCTGCTTTAAAACTTGATTCACCTTGGTTTGCACGAAATTTAATACATTTAAAATGTATCTTTACTTTCCTGATACTTGATTTTTAAATTGTTTGTTTCAAACCTTCTGCTGTTTTTTACTCCCTTCGTCCTTCTTCATGCAGTTTCTGTTGTTCGAAGATTTTGCTTGAACTCCTTGTTTGGGATTGTTGAGTGGTGCTAAAGAACGGGATAAATCTTCGACATCAGTGTTTGAAAGGCAGCTGTCGTTCAGCTTAAGTGTCCTTGTACTTCTGAACATTGGAAGCAGCGACGTGGCTACAAGGCAAAATTCCGTGTTTCGTAGCTTTGAAGTTCTAATCACTATATACCTTGTACAGCAATTATATACTAATTTCGCGAAAATGCCATCCCTTTCGACCGTGCAGTTTTGTGTATATTGTTGTTGTTAGACAAAGATGATCGAAATGTACATCTTTGAAAAATGTTAAGGCTAATAAATAGTTTATTTAAAAACGCATTGCATCTTTCTGTTGAATATTTTTCGATATTTTCAAATTCCCCATGGTGACAAGTAAATTTGTGGCTCTATCACAGCCTCATACGGACTGACGCCGTGAGTGACCCAGATCTGTCACGTATGCACATTGTTGTTTAAGTGGCATACGACGCTTGATATCGACCTTATCAGTAACGCTGTACGAATAAGCAGCAACCAGACGGATTAGCAAACCTGAAAGAATAGGTTCTATTTTTGATATAATTAATTTAGTTTATAATCCACTGAAATATATAACTACTGCGGTAACAGAAGCAGGTTCCGAAAAGTTTTTATTTTCTATAAAATATGAACAGCACGGTATTTTGAATAAACCAAGCAGGCCCACATGTGGTAGTCCTCTTGAAGTAACACTTTATGAATTCGGAAATCATCGCTATTCACGATTAAAAACATTGTGTTCAAAGATTCCTGCCGGATACGGTTGATACCTGGTTCCTTTTCCGTTTATTCGATACAGTGCTGTTTGAAATTTTTGATGAATATAAAGTTTATAAAAATTGCTCACGTTTCTAATTTCTTTGCTTAGTTTATATTTGCCTAAGAAAGATCATAAAAGTATCATTTGTCAACAAACAGAGTACATCCGTACCTTATAGAATAATGGAGCACTGATGACGATGACAGTGTAGACCACAGATGGTATTCGTGCAAACCTTCATATAATAAATTCAGTAAACACAGCAAACATAGCAGAATTGTTATGGCAAATCGGACGAAATGGTCAGTTGCCTTTCCACACCTTCAAAGACTCTCACGTAAAGTGCAGCTCCGTGCGAAAATACTCATGCCGTTATACAGTGTTCGCGTTGAATGAACCACGAATCGTCAGAGTTTGATATGTATGTCCTTGGGCAGTACTCAAATCAAAGGCTCATCGGTGCAACTTTTAGGAACATACGTAACAAAGGTATTTGCGCAGTGCTTAGGGAATTACCATTCTGATTGTTATGAGGTGAATGAGGATCGGCACGTTTTAGTGTTACGTGACATTACGTCTTATTCACTGTGGTTGTCCTTTTGCTTAGTGTGTACATGTGGCAGTGGCTATGCCTAACGAAGCAGAGGGAACTTTCAGTCTAGAAGAGCGAGAAACTTGTTTGTTCCTTTACTCGGAATTTCTAACATATAGATTTCCATATTCATCGGTTGTGTTCTTTCCTTGATGAAAATTGTTCGATTGACAACTTAAATTAAATTACAGATTTTCGGTTTTTGTTAACGCTATGAAGGAAAATTTTTCTTTATGGTTTCAGCGTAAGCACATACACCGTAAAGCAGTTTGCAAATTATTATGTGAGCTCTGTTGAAAGCAAGAGATGACGCTTTACTGCATGAGTTTGCATGAGTGCAAGAACTGACGGGACTATTACGGATTTTTTGTACATTTGTTTCATTTAATTCTGGTCCTTTTCCTTATATTCTTCGAAGAATTTTACGAATTGCCTCAACTGACTTGAAAGCCATTGGCTCTGGTGTACGGCAACTTGAAATTCAGCGGTATCTTCCCAAAACTATAATTTTGAGAGGCTGGACTATAATTTTGCATATGTTTTAAGAATGAATATCCTATAATTGGAGAAAATAGTTTTAAATGGAATGGGCGCAGGATCGAGGTCAACATGAACACCTAAGCGACGCTGAACGGAAGCCATCTTATAATGGAGAAACGAAAGCACTATTCGCGCTACCCCTAAGATCCTATAAACTAGAGGACATGGTGTAGGATGCTTCATATTGCCATATATGTTTTGAACAGGAGTCAACAAGTGACTGATTGGATGACTTTCTGCTACCTCTGACTCGATAGCTGTTGTTACTCAAAATAGTATATCATGGAATCACCTTGAGTTTTTGCACTTACTTTGTTTGCTGTCGTTCATATGAAACCTATGCAGTATGAACTCAGCCTTACGATAACGATGTTCGTTCAAAAGCATGTCGAGCAGGTTAATTTTAAATATGCTTCACTCTGTCCTGAAAAACGCCCCTAATTATTTTCACGTGCCTCACTTCTAAAGTTTTTATTTATTTCAATTAACTGCGTTTTGTTTAATTCGACTTGTAGCTGAAATGTACAGCATCTTTTGAGGTGAAGAACAACAGTTAGCTTTTGATTACATAGCTGTTATCCCGCTGTCCTTCGTGTTTGTCAGCGCGTGCTTCCTCGCAGCTTGTTCTTGTGAGTGTTTGCACAAGTTGTATTGATTTTTCCGAATTGTCAGCGGAAAATTAGCCTCAGTTCAGTCGTTACAAGACTCAGCGGCGGCAGTTGATGCCAACAACGGTCTGCTGGCGAAATTTATTATTCGTTTGAATTAAGACATTGATGTAAGTGACTGATTTCCGTTATACCATCCCGAAGGCTATCAGTTGGCTTGACAATATGGATTTTAATATTTAAGACGTTGCTGAAAACTGAAGCAAGACTTTAAAACCTTACAAGTGGGAAAATTAGAGAAAGCAGCCGAAGATTGCAGGAACCTCAGACAATGGAGAGAAGAGTTAGCGCTTTATTAGTCGACTATTAAGGCTTTGAATAACAGGGGATGACGCATTAACGTTTGATAGAGCTAATATGCAGTCTGTGGGTAAGGAATTTCGCACCCAATTCTTTGAATCAAAGATGCGCGTCCCCCCTGACCATCATCATTCCAACAGCCAGAAGAAATGTTCTCCCGTTCCTCATAAGCGCGGTTCCAAATGCCGCGCAGCATTCTAGAGTGACGGTCTGACAGTTGAAATGATCAGATACCGTAGAGAGCAATAGCGGAGAGATTCAGCTGCTCTCTGGAAACAAAAATGGTACCATCTGGCTGGACGGAGTCAAAGACAGTCTGTTCAAGTTCTGTTCAAGAAGGGCAAGAAGAAAGATTTGAGATACTGTAGCCTGCTCTGTGTGCCCTCACAAGTCAACAGGCTGTTTACAGTGAACGTAACAAATCTGGATGAACAGTATCCAAGACAGCAGGGGAGATTTCATGGAAGCTACAGCAAAACAGATAACATCTTTACTTTTATTCAGCTGAGGAGGGAACTCGAGCCCGCGAGGAAACTCCAGCTGCGTCTGTGCATAGCCTTTACCGACTACGAGAAGCTGCTTGAAACATTCGAGCATATCGTAGATTGAGCTGTACTCTGCAGCATAGGGCATCGACACCTGGTTAAATAAACTTGCTAAAAGAAGCGAACCATGTCTGATTAACAAATATCAGGTTATTCGGCCCCCTTCGGATTGCCTTAGAGAAGGACATGGAACATGCATATACCATCTCTTCAAACTTTTTACTGTCTTTTTGGAAATGTTGTTAGAATGGGTGAGATGGAAAGGTTAGAAAAATAGCAGTGGTGCGCGGTGTTGTCAGAAAATGTCAATCATCTTTAAGACATGCTTCTCGAAGTCAAGACATAAATTGTAGAAGTCGGACTGTGAAGCATTTGGTTAAGGACAAACATATTGCGATCATGTGCCCTTCCGAAGATATGCATAATATTAAACGTTGAAAAAATCGAGAAAATCGATCAATACATTTATTTGTGCATGGAGGGTCAATATTCAAAATGATCAGGCTGGAGGGATTTGACAAAAATGGAAACAGAATCACGTTCCATTCATCAACGACGTCTTCCTCTGCAATGTCGTGTAAGAATCCCGATGAGCTAGCTATCTGTCACTGACAGAGCCATGGAAAGAAGGATTTTGAAAATCTCGCTTTGCGACCTCAGGTCAGACAGCGGACGGGAGTAAGAGACCTCTTCGTCGAAAACAGATGGAAGAATTTACGGTGGCCCGGACATGTAGCTCGGCTTATTGACTGGTATCCTGGTCGCCAATCACCACCGTGGAAAGATTATGTCAGAACTCTGAAAAGCTGCTTTTAGAGGAAGAATGGTCGAAAGCTTCAGGAATGGCGGACCGGCACGATTCGTCGACGATTACCAGTTGGTCTAATTGATTTAAGTGAAAATGGTTGCTAAGCCTAAGCACCTTTCTCCATA